TAGCACTTCAGTAAATGGGGTGGCGTGTCCGAGCCCCGTAGTCGCCCTTTGTTGTGGTATGGTCGATGGAGTGGCCCGCCCTTGTCATGCGGAAGTGACATCTTTGGTCATACTCGGTCTTGTGCGTCGTGGGGCTCGAGACGGCTTGATGCGGGACATGGCGGGCGACGTCTTTGGTCGCCGTGTAATGACGTCGTAGGGAGCGGCGGCTCTCTGCAGATGCCGAGGCCGAGCCATCGTGGGGGGCTCGGTGGTCATGGACCCTCAGTTGCCGAGCCCGTGAAGCAAAGCTGTCGAGGCCTTTGGGGAGTTATTGGCCCCGGTATCGATTCCGAGGCCACAAGAGTTCAGACGTGTGGCTCCCCATGCCGCGTTGTCCTTGGAGCAGGAGTTGGCAAAGATGAGTGAGGCATGGGCGCCAACCCATGTGCACGGTGGATAGCATAGTGACGGGTAACCCCGCTTGATCCGGGGACGTGCAGGTCATTGCGTGATGACGTCGTAGGGGGCTGTGGCTCTGAGGGTGCCGAGGCCAAGCCATCGCTGGGGGCTTTTGGCGGACATGGGTCCTCGTTTGTCGTCGAGCCCCGAGCAAGCTGCCGAGGCCTTGAGGGAATTATTGCTCCGGTGCGATTCCGAGGCCACAGAGCTCGGATGTGGCTCCCCACGCTGCATTGTCCTCGGTGCAGAGTTGGCAAAGATAGTGAGGCATGGGCGTCAACCCATGTGCACGGTGTGGTTAGTTAAGATGTGGCGGGTAACCCCTGCCGAGCCCCGCCTCTGTCCCATCGGCCATTCTGTCAGATCGTGCGGGCATGTGGTCATTGTCGGGGCAGCAGTTTGGCTGAGTTGATGCGACACGACGTTTTGCGGAGGGACGGGAGAAGGAAGAGGTAGCGGAGTGTCGCCGAGCCCGCCTTCTTGCGCGAGACAGGGGGTCGGTGGCCTCGGCCGAGGCCTTTGGGGGAATCGACCGAGGCCCGTGGTGGTGAGGGGGCCTCGGCGAATCGGAGAGTCGGGTGAGGTCCAGCGGTGATGATGAGGCCTCTAAGGCGAGTCGGAGAATCGGCCGAGGCTCAGCGGTGATGGGGCCTCGGGCGAGTCGGAGAATCGGTCGAGGCCAGCAGCGTTTAGCTGGTTTCGATCTTTACGAAATCTAAGCAGTCGTTGTTTGGATCTTGCTTAGGGTACCCCTTCTTATGGTATCCGACAAGCGCATTTAGAGATGCGGCTTCGTGCTCCACGCCTGCTACCTGTCCATAGATACAGCTTCGTGCTCTATGCCTGCTGCCTATCCATGGATGTAGTTTTGTGCTCCACGTCTGCTGCCACGTCCATGGATACAGCTTTGTGCTCCGCGCCCACTTTGATTATCGCGTGCATGGGGGACCGCTGCGCCGAGGGGACAACCTTCGCCTGCTCCCCCTTGCCACGCATATGGATATAGCTTTGTGCTTCGCGCCCGCTTCGGTTCTCGCATGCACGGGGGACCGCTGCGCCCGAGGGGACTACCTTCGCCTGCGTCCCCTTGCCACGCATGCTCATGAAACAATTGCAACATAATACATTTGCTGCAACATACGTCCAAAACGTATAAAAAGATATGCGTATAGACACTGCAACATATGCGGTATCCAGATAAAACACTTGCAACATACGTTTGAAACAATGAAATATTTGAAACATACACTTGCAACCTACATGTATAGCCAGTGAAACATATGCAACATCTAGATAAAACACTTGCAACATACGTTTGAAATAGTTAAAACATTTGAGACATACACTTGCAACATATGTGTATAGTCATTACAACATATGGAACATACATCCGAAATGTATGAAACATACGGTTGCAACATGTGCTCATCTACTTGGTACCCCCCATGGACGCTCCTTGCGGAGCTTGACGCCGGCATAGAGCTCGATGCCACGGCGCGGAGGTCGGACCTCGGATTGTGCGCAACGTGAGCCCAGGCGGGAGGAGCGAGGTGCGGTGGAGTGCAGCGCGACGCGCAAAGCATTAGCGGCACACGACGCGAGGCGCTGAGGGGGGCACAAAGGCGCGAAGGTTGAGGTAGGCTGGAGTGTACATCTGTCCCCGCCTCAGGCTTGGATTTAACGCTCGGGCAGAGAGCATTACCGTTTGAAAAATCGTAGATTGTCTCAATTGACTTCTACTAGACCTTTTTCTTACAAATGGAACGAATCATACTATAGCATGGAACAATAGATTATTCCTAACAATGAAAATATAGCTACAAATATGTAGACACATAAAAATAAGTCGTACGGCAATTGAATTGTACTCCTGCAACAAACAAAAAAAACTCACGAATGGAACACGATGTAATATGGAACCGATATACCCGCTAGTAAAAACATAAATACAGCAAAAAAAATATAAAAACGAAAATCATGGCTCATTTAGTTGTACTAGCAGGATGATAAAGTTTTACTAATGGAACAATAAATGAATAACAGGGAACAATTGATGTTTCCTATTGGAACAACCAAAATATATTTGCGTAAAATGCAACATTTTGAATGTTAAATAATAGAATTGTGCTAGTACAATAATAATTTTTCACGAATGCAACAATGAACTATCTAAGATATAACCAGGAACAATAGGATTTACCGATTTGAAAAATTAAAATATAGCATAAATAGAAAAGAAAAGAAAAGAAGAGGAGCAACTCCAACAGAGTTGGTAAAAATAGATAGCTAAACTTAAGATTTAGCCAACCTCTAAAATAGAATCCCCAACAAAAAAAAGAAAACTCCAACAGCCTTTCCAATAGGGTGAGGCGAATGGCTAGCAGCACATGCAAGCCATATTTAGCATGCGAGAACTCCGGGATTCATGACTTGCTATTTTAGAAAGCCAGATATAATAGCTGTTGAACTCCCTCTTTTTTCTCAAAACAGTCAAATATAGATTACACAATATGAATAGCTCTTCTGTTGGAGTTGCTCTTACAGAGCCGTCGTTGCCCCTTTCAGAAGACAGCCGCAGCCGCCCCTTTCAGGCTCCTCGCTGCCGCTTAGGACACACTTCTCATTCTAACTCTACGTCAAGTCGGTCGGTGGTAAGAACGAACATATATAGTTGTTAAAATCGCAATTCTACGGTACAATTTGCAACTTTGTGATCTTAGTTTTATCGGCTTGATAGAACCTACGATATTATGATTCTAGTAATTATGATCCTACGATTTGCGATCGTACCACTGGATTTCTGATCCAATTCAAGATCATAATTTTAACAACCTTGAGAAGGAGAGGGGATCCCATATTTCGTTTACAACCGTCCTTTAGATCTAGTTTGCTTAAGCTTATTACAAATAAATCTACCGCTAAACACTACTACAGGATTTATTAATAGAAGCAGTAAAAACAATTTCCAGAAGTAGGCAGCCCGAGTGCCACTGGTAATTGGTAGTGCTAATCAGCGATTTTTCAGAGGCGGGTGATTTAAGATGTCATCCTCCTACTAATCATTAACAGAGGCCATTTTTTCAGCTGAAGGTTAGCCCCTCATGCATTTCTTCTTGGCTGCCTCGTGAGTGTCACCCATGAATCTGCATCTTATGTTCCTGCTTCTGTCTACGAGTCCATGAGTACTTGTCATGGCAGGCCAATCGCGCCCAAGATGCAGAGCACCAAAGTCGAAGGCCCCTCGACCCTTCGCTAGCTCGCCGCACCTTCTCTCTACAACCAAGCCCAACCATCAGTACCGCATCGATGGATCATGATTGGTGCCGCACGCCAATAGTAAACCCACTGCCACCGGCCATTGTGTCCAGCTGCGCACCTTATGCAGCCCGCCCCACTCTTCCTTAGGCGCCAGAGGCAATGCAACACCACCTTCCTATTGCACGTTACAATGCAAGTGCACGGGATAGGTGATCGAGATCCGGGTATGGTTATTTGACTTCATATATTTGTTAAATGTCAATGTCTATTTTTGAATAAATCCATTGTAATTTGAAACATTTTCATATCATAGGACATAGGAGGCTAGGATGGAAATATATTTTATATTGAGAAAGATGTGTCAGATAGTACTACTAAAACTAAAGAGATACGGATTGAGAAAAAAGACCACGCAAGGGCCCGAGGAAAGAATGATATGTATTGTATCGAGTGGCCAAAGCTGTGTGGAATTGTGAAGACATATACGATCTTTTGATTATGTGGATGCTCCTTATTTGTATTTTCTTTTTTCATATTCTATATTTGTTTGAGCACTTCAAAATGATATCGTCATCTGTGTTCCTTCTTATACCTATTAATTACTATTAGTAAGATTTCTATTATTTTATTATTTATTAGGCCCGTCTTGGTCCGTTTTTGGATCCGCCATTCTCTATACTAGTGTGGTTTGATATAGATTACTCCCTCCGTTCCCAAATAAATCAATTCCTGAAATCCATGCAAGTCAAACTATCTTAAGTTTAACCAACTTTATAAAAAAGAGTAACAACATTTATGACATAAAATGAGCACATTACGAAAATATATTCTATGGTATATCCAATTATACTAATTTGATGTTATAAATTTTGAAGGGATTTTCTAGAACTAGGGTCAAAGTTTAAGTTTAAAAAATTTGACTTACGATAGCTCTAGGAATCTATTTATTTAGAGAGAGAGAGATTTTATATTGACGAGTCGTTTTCCATATTGAAGGTCGTTGGAAGAGATGGATTAACGAAGAACCGAAGCGCTTAACTTTTCATGACTCTTTAGACGAATTCAACGCACGAAGAAAGTAATTTTCACTTCCATCAACCACTAACATTGACATTTCTAATTTCGTATATATATGACTACATCAAGAGGGGTTAGGTCTTTACAAGGTGTATGCACACAACTTGGCCTCCCATCCTCACCGGAAGGATTGGAAGAACAAGCAAAAAGAATATGAATCAAAGAATGGGGTTTCCTATTCTCTCTCTAAGAAAAAAAAACTATTTTTCCTTCTTAACAAAAATCTAGGCCTCATAGATGGTATCCAGGGCGGGCTTCCATTGCCTGGGCCCAAGTCCATGATCGCGGGCCCCTTCACCTTCAGCCGCGTTCTCCTCGCCGTTGACGTCCGGAAAGACCCTTTTGCCGCCAGCGAGCCTGCTCTTCCTCGAGCTCTTCTTCCCGGAGACCAGCCGTCCGATGGCCTCGACCTCATGGTCGCCCAGCCGCGCACCGGCCCGGCCGGCGGGGACGAGGAGGTACACCACGCCAGCGCGCAGGAGCTCGTCGGCCGCCATGGCCCGCACCCGCCGCTCCCTCGCCACGTCCGTGGCGCGAGTCACCACGTGCCCCGGCGCGTCGATCATCAGCTCCGCGACCCCGGTGTTCTCCTCCACCGTCGTCCGGCTGCCGTCCGGCCCGACGACCAGAGGCCGCCGCGCGCCGGCACCGTTCGCGACGCACTGCGAGACAAGGTTGCCCATCCCGTGTCCTGACTACTGGCAGGCAACCAGCGGACCTTTGGTTCCGTTCCTCCTGGGAATGGAGAGATCGATCGAGTTCGAACAGAACTGTTGCTTGTGAGTCGTGAGAAGAGGGCAGAGCTGATGGATGACCTGGATGGATGTGCTGCTTGGCTATGGCTTGGTCTGCTTTATATCGGGGGTGCGGAGACGACCCGAGGAAGCTTCCTGGAAGGAGCATGGTTCGGCCTGCGGCTGACACGTGGAGGAGCTGAGTGCGTGGCGGGAGTGGGAGTGGGAGTGGCAGTGGGAGTGGAGTGTTCGCCTGTTCGGTACGAGCCTGGCTTTGACTCGGCGTTGCCCGCGCACCAGCGAATACTTTTCAACACGGGGAGATGGTAGATTTTTGAACGGCGATGATGGTGGAAATTTAAGACATTAATTAAACCATACTGGTCCATCATAGGAGGAGTGGTTAAGTGTTTGTGTCATCCAATCAAACTTTCGTCGCATGCAATTAACAACTAGTGCAGCTTGATACTATGAAATTATGAAGCATGATAGTAATGCCGAGTCAGCAGATTGATCAGGTCGATCGAGTCGGGCTGCTCCGATGTTGAATGCTTCTAGCTATTAACAACGGTTAGACCTAGTTTAGAAGTCAGTTTGTTCGTTACCACACCATCATGAGGAACGAGAAACACATGAATGGAAAAAAAGTACATGAATCAAATATGCATGCATTGCCAAAGCGGAGCAAAGGAAAACGGAAAACATAAAGAAAACGTAGGAATTAGTGTTTGGAACGCAAGAATTATAGAAACAGAGAATTGTAGTTTTAGTGAGTCTCACAAATTGTAAAAAGAAAGGCAGCTTCATTGCATATCTTACCTACTAAGCCACTTACATATGGGCCCAAGATGTTGGGACCCATCATCTCTAGGGCTGTAGGCTAATAGAAAAAACACATAGTTGCTCTCTCATTCAGTCATTTTGGTCCGCTCATTCTCATCCCCTTCCTTTGTTCCTCTATTCATTCTCTTATGTTTGCTCTCGTTCTCTTCTAACCAATCCGTGAGAGAAGCCAAGCAGATGACCTTAGGGTGTGTTTGGTTACCCCACTCCCACCATCCCCGCATGAGCTAAGCCGTATACGCTCCAAAAGAAAGCCGTTTGGATCCCTGTTTTCACTGTTTTCACCCTGCTCCGCTCATGCAATATACGGTGGGATCCTGGCTCTAGGGAGCAGCCCAAATTGAGCTTCACTGGCAGCCTAGGCCGGTGGATGCATAGATGGGGTGCGGGGTTCCATATGTTAGTCTCACAACTCATACAAGTTGCATCCGCTCATACAGGTAACCAAACAGCTTTCCAGATTTGTTGCATCCCCTCATGCAACCTGACCAAACACCCTCTTTCTCTGAAATATGGTTCCACTCAGTCTGCATCCCCTCATCCGGATATACGATGCAAGCCCAATTTCGCAACCAAACACACCCTTAGCGGAGCAGATGAGGCAACCTGCATGGAGACAGCGACAAACAATAATGGTCTAGATGCGAGAGGCTTGAAACATCAATAGCAATAGACTAGGTTCTTCCCCAACGACTCTCATTTCTACTTGATTGCCTCGCACATAGCCACACAGTCGATGGAAAATAAAACAAGGGACTAGAATGGATATTTTATTTCCTATGAAATGGCTAGCATGCTACAGGATCCCAAAGGAAAGGGTTAGATGATTTCACCATTCCAAACACTCACAAGGATTTTCTTTCCTCTGTTTTAGATTCCTACAATTTTCCTTTGAAATTAATCCAATCCAATTGGGCCTCAGTGCTTTTAGACTTGAGGCTTGCTATGGTACTCCACTTAGACAGTTATCCTCTAGTTGGGCGTGCCTCGGTGGCAGGCTAGCTTGGGAATGGGCTCGGGATCGAGCACCGCAATGGGATTTTTTCTTATTAACAGAGGTGGGCACTATAGCTCTTGCTCCCATGTGTATTCTTCGTTAACAGTGACAAACAACAAAGGTGGGCACTGTGTCCGCCTCTGTGAAATGATTTTGCCCATCCCTGAATATCTATTCTATACTAGTGTTATTTGCTAGTAGATGCTCTTGTTATATGTTATAATTAATGTATATTAATGACCAAGTGACTTTGACAATAACACAAGTGTTATGTATCACATCATACTTATCTATTTAGTATGAATATGCTTTCCACTTGATCCTGTTCGTGTCACTTGATCCTATCTGTACAAACATCATGTTTCGTATATTACCACCTAAATTTCCATGTTGCATTATGCTCCATAATTCTTGGTATTAAAATTTACTTAAATTCAATAGTTGGTAGAACTTAATTATATTAAACGCATGGTGCATACAACCACGCATGTTGACATCTGTACTTTAAAAAAATATCCATGGTAGGGGGTGAAAGCTCTGGTTTGGTTTTGGTGAATTGATGAAACCCTAAGTGCTAACCTAGTTTATCAAGTGATCATGAGATAGGTAGCACACTCCAAGTGATGAAGCAAATGAAGATCATAGCATGATGATGATGATACCATGATGATGATCAAGTGCTTGGACTTGGAAAGAAGAAAGAGAAAAACAAAAAGCTCAAGGCAAAGGTATAAACCATAGGAGCTATTTTATTTTGGTGATCAAGACACTTAGAGAGTGTGATCACATTTAGGATTGATAGCCGTACTATTAAGAGGAGTGAAACTCGTATCGGAGTGCGGTTATCAAAGTGCCACTAGATGCTCTAACTCATTGCATATGCATTTAGGATCTAGTGGAGTGCTAACACCTTAAAAAATGTTAGTGAAAATATGCTAACACTTGTGCACAAGGTGTTACACTTGGTGGTGTTGGCACATTTACAAAGGAGGTGGTGTTTGCAGTGTTGAGATGGGTTTGGGTCCCTCTCTCCCTCCCGCCGAGCTTGTGAGGCGGGATTCGGCGCTTTCGGGAAAATAGAATGCCTATTTTCTATTGCGCCGGATGAAAATTCTTGGTGGTTGGCACATTTGAGCAAGGGTGAAGAAGTTAGAGTTGAAATGGAGTTGGTCGAAATAATGCTGGCGTCGGTCTACTGACCGGACACTGGGTCACTCAGCGACCGGACGCTGAAAGGCTGCGTCCGGTCGTGCTGTAAGACGGCACAGTGGCTAAGGTTGAGCACCGGACACTGGTCTGTGTCCGGTCAAGGTGGACCGGACGCGTCCGGTCGAAGAAATACGTCTCGGGGAGCTTACTGGAAACGACCGGACGCTGGGGCTTCAGCGTCCGGTCAGTTTTGCCGGAGCGTCCGGTCTGCTTCGTAGCCGTTGAAATCTGACGAACAACGTTTGAAGCTGGTGACGCGTGGCGTCCATCGGGCGACCGGATGCTGAGGGCCAGCGTCCGGTCAGTTTGACCGGAGCGTTCGGTCAGTTTGACCGGAGCGTCCGGTCAGAGCGCGTTTTGCCCAGTAAAGGGGTATAACGGCTCTATTTGATTGGGGCTCTATTTATAGCCCCATGGCTGGCTCAAGGGCTATCTCTGGCACATTTTCATTGACATAGCAACCTTGTGAGCTTAGCCAAAGCCCTCCCACTCATCTCCATCATTGATCCATCATCATTGTGAGATTGGGAGAGAATCCAAGTGCGTTGCTTGAGTGATTGCATCTAGAGGCACTTGGTATTCGTGTTGCGCTGCGGATTTCGCTTGTTTCTCTTGGTGGTTGCCACCACCTAGACGGTTGGAGCAACGGTGAAGGATCGGCACGAGTTGGTGATTGTTCGTGGCCACCTTCGGTGATTGTGAGGGGAGTTGTACCTTCCTCGGCGGAGTGCCGAAAGGTAACTCTAGTAAATTGCTCGTGTCATTGAGTTACCTCACTTGTGGGTCGGTTCTTGCGGTGTCCTATCGTGTGGACGAGGTTTGTGAAACACCTCTTAGCCGCCGAACCACCAAGTGTTGGTCGACACAATGGGGATTAGCGTGTTGGCAAGCACGTGAACCTCGGAAGAAAAATCGGTTGTCTCTTGTCATTTGCATTCTCTCGGTGATTGGCTCAATCTTCATCTTGTGATTGGTTCACTCCACGACCCGGCGGTATAATCGTATCACTTACTCATTTACATTTCCGCAAACTAGATATAGCAAGCTCTTTAGTGTAACTAGAATTGAGAGCTTACCTTGTGCTTTAAACATATCTAGTGGAGCTCTTTAGTGTAGTATTTGTGAGAGCTCTTAGTGAGTAGTAGTCAAGTAGATTGTGTGCAAATTGATCATTGCAACTAGAATTGTTGGACGGGTGGCTTGCAACCCTTGTAGAGTTAGAGCAAGTTTGTATTTCGCTATTTGTCTTACTAATTAAATTGCTCTAGTTGTTTTGTAGTTTTTAAATAGGCTATTCACCCACCTCTAGCCATATTAGGACCTTTCAGGGGGCCAACGCCCAGTGGTCCTAAAGATGATGCTTCACCATCACTTCTACATTGCTCGGATGATCAATATGGACTAATTATCTATTTAGATAGCGAGAGCTTCTACTAAAAAATAAAGACCAAAATGAGTCCATTAAGATTCAAATAATTTCAAGCTAGGCACGATAAGATAGAACATGATTTTAGAATAAAATTTGAAACTAGCTTCATAATTATCCGAGCTAAAACAAAAAAACTATAATTTTTCTAAGATTAAACCATATTTTAGGTTTTTATTTGCTTTTTTCATGTAAAAAATTTAGATATTTTTTTGAAAACATTTTTGATGGATTTTTTGGATAATTTTTAAAAATATTTTAGTCAGATTTACCTCTTGAACTTTTAATTTAGCCGATTTAATTTTTTCGCAACTGACATGACACTATGCCAGTAAAAGTTACCATCAAAATCATTTAAACAAACTATTTAAATTGAGGGTTAGAAAACCCAATGAGATTTATAAATAAGGAAGGAAATTGGACGGTCGTGGAAGTTGAAGGCGGTCGAAAGCAACCTTCATATACAGAAGGAAACCTATTCCAGGAGTCCATCGGGCCGTCGTCGTAGTCCAAAGGCCCATAATTGTAATCCCCAGCAGGCCAGGATTACGCAACCCAGCCTGCTTTGCGATGCGTGCAAACCCGTCATCTCACGATCGGAGTGAGGGAAGGCACCGAGGTCAACATGGTCATTTAGCACACGCCCTGCCTCCCTTACATAACCCTCCCCTCAACGCCACTCGCAAAAACCCTAGCCGCCGCCAGACCATTCATTGCTCGCGACCCCTCGCTTCGGTAACTCTCCGGCACCCTGCTCGATCAGATCCTACTAGGTGTGTTGTTTGTCTTTACCGTCAATCCACCTCTCTAATTCGCGCTTTGTTGGCAGGGATCCGTAAAAGATGGCCAAGTCGAAGAACCACACGGCGCACAACCAGTCGTACAAGGCGCACAAGAACGGCATCAAGAAGCCCAAGCGCCACCGCCAGACCTCCACCAAGGGGGTTAGATAATTTACTCCTCATGTTCCTCTTCCGTTCGATTAATTGTGCAGCTGCGTCAGTGTGGTTATTGGTTGATCCCAGAATCATGTAATTGCCGACTTCAATGGTTGTTCCGGATAGGTGAAATCCATCTAGGTTGTGAAGTTGGTTCCTTGATGCTAATTTGCTTTTGGCATGGTCCGTTCTAGTGCCGTGCAAGTAGTGGCTCATATGCTCACGGTACTAGCTATAGCTAATGTTGTTAGTCATTTCTAGGATGAAAGATATGTAAGCCATTTGCGAAGTCACAACTTGGTGCGGTGATGAGAAGTTCTCTGATTTTCTAAAGGGTCCTATTGCAATCAATTATCAAAAGGATTTGTGCATAGTTTTTTTTATTATCTGAACCCACTAAGGCCTTGTTTGGATACTCCCGTATTCATCTCAATCCACATGTGTTGGGGTGGAACTTGAACTAATTTACACCCCAATCCACCTCAACACATGTGGATTGAGGTGGATGTGAGGTTATCCACAGTCCTAAGTTTTCTCCGACCGTTTGTCTCGAAGGGTTGTTATTGCTCTGCTAGAATTTGTTTCTACTTGTGATTTGAAAACATATTTAGTGCCCGTTTGCTGCTATGGTGTGTATGAGTTCTTGCAGCTAGTATTTTTCTTGTCTTTGTTGTATAAATAATCTTCATAATGTTTTTGTTCGTGTTGGTCCAGTTGATCAGCCTAGTATTTTACTTTTTTTTAGTACCCTAGTATTTTACTAGTGTATTTGGAGACTACTTCGAAGTTGAAGTTGATTTTTCATCTCCAGAGTTCTGATGAGGTTGAGGTTGTTGCTATGATGAGACATAATACCTTCTGAGAGCAGATTACTGCTCTATGAACCTGGGAAATATTCTTCATATTTCATCCTGAGCGGTTACCTGAGCCACTGCACAACCTTGATTCCTGTTGTGCTTCACTTAGGATGCTATTTGTATTGAGATGCAACACAACTGTTAATTTTGCCATTTTTCCATCTCCACCAGCAGCTTGAGATGCATATTGGTTTTTGCTCTCAACTAACCTTTTGCTTTGACATTTTGCAGATGGACCCCAAGTTCCTGAGGAACCTGAGGTATTCGAGGAAGGGCAACAAGAAGAGTGGTGAGGCTGAAGCTGAGGAGTAGGAAGGAATGCATGGTTGTGTTTCCTCTGTTTTAGCTCAGTTCTACCTTTAGGATCTGGAGTTTTTGCTAAAGATGGAACTTAAGTGGTGTTAATGTATGATGGCAAGGACCTTTTGATGCCAAGTGCTATTATGATAATTTTGTTTTGAAGTTCATGCTACCTTTTGAATTACGGTTTACTTTCTATTCTGTGTTCATTATTTTTGCCCTTGGTAACTATAATTAGATTTCTGGATTGCCTCTGGGTTTTTAGGCTATTTGCATTGGAGGCTAACCTATTTGAGAGGTGGCTTAATGTTTTATCTTGCGTGGATTGAGTGTTAAGCATTGCCCAATGCCATTGAAGTTAGGTTTCTACAGTTTGACATTTCTGCGGCTGCTGCTTAGGTGCTCGGGAAACAGTTACCTGATGGTTGAGTGGATGAACTGGAGCCACTATGCGAGGCATCAGTTGAAGATGTGAAATTTGGTGGTGATGGGCATGAAACACATGGAGACTTTAGATGAGTGGAGCTTGCTTGAAGCCTGGAACTGGGGTAAAAGTTGCTGCATTTGTTATGTTGTGGAGCAGAGCAGGGTTTTAATATAACCATGTTAGCAGGAACAAACTGCTAAGGATAAACAACCAGATTATTCAGATTTCAGAGATGCCTAATCGCTCGTCGAGGCAACCAAAGGTTAAGGAAGCTCTCAATCAGCTGAATATGAATGACGCTTTTCTCTAAACAAGAGTTGCAAATGCAAGAGCTTATATATAAAGTACAGTAATCGGCGAAATAATCTGTCTGAACATCTTATTCCATCAGAAAACTAGTGCTTGGATCATTGTTGGTGAACTACAAAAGACACTGCCATGCAATGAGATGCGAAATATGCACATATATGATGTCACATACTCGCCATTGCACATTGGCTAAGCTGTAGCTTGCCATGGCACATTGGCTAAGCTGCAGCGTAAAGTGCGATGTGAGGAGCATTCTACTCCTTGGGCCTCTTGACGATGAGGACCGGACATTTGCAGTTCTGCGCGCAGTGGTTGCTGACGCTGCCCAAGAAGGCCCTGCAGCAATGTTCAATTGAAACGAAGATAAACGAGTGAGTAGATTGCTGCTGCAGAGGGTTACTCAACTTATGTACTAATCCTTATCTGAAGCAGAGGGAAACAAAATATCTGATGTTACTCAACCTGTGTACTAATCCTATCCGATGTGGGGTAGTTTTGAACAAGGAGAGGAAAGCGACTCTTAGCATGTGTCAGTGTCAGCTCACCTCTGGATGAAGCCGTAACCATGGCTGCCCATGACGAGCAGGTCCGGGGCCATCTTGTCGGCGGCGTCGCAGATGACGTCCCGCGGGTCCCCGCTCTCCACCATCGTCTCCACCTTGACGTGCGGGTGGTCGGCGCAGACGCGCTTGGCCTTGTCGACCGCCGCCGCCGAGACGGCGTTGGCGTGCCTCTCGACGCTCGCCAGCACGTCCGAGGTCATCATGTACCCTGCAAGCAGAGGCAGGGGCAGGCAGGCCCCAGGTCATCAGCGCCTCTTCCATTTTCTAAGACTTGTGAGCTTGAACGCGCGGCCCGGCTGGCTGGCTCCATGTGATCTGGAGAAATCTACAACTGCAGTCTGCGGTAGTAGTAAGTCATACCTGCGCTGTCCATGGCGGCGTAGACCGGGCGCGGGCGGCGGGCGTGGACGAGCAGCAGCGTGTCGCCTCCTGCCGGGGAGACGACGTTGGCGAGGCACCAGTTGAGCGCGTGCAGGCTCTCCTCGCCCTCGTCCACGGCCACCATGATGCGGCGCCCGGCACCGGAGGCGGCGACGGCGGCAGTTTCCATGCAGGAAGCACTAGATCGGTGAACGATTGTTGCAGGGGCTGTGAACTGTGAACTGAGAACAATTAACTGGATGCTAGTATTGACTGAGAATTGAGGAGACCAGTCTAACTGGATTTCTACGTATGCATTATAAAAGATATTGACTGAAAATTGAGGAGACCAGTCTGCTTTTAAATACAAAATTATTTTCATTTAATTTCGCAAAAAAATATGATTTGATATGATTAATATATCTTAGAAAAATCATCATATTTTTTTGTGGAATTAAATAAAATATTTTTATATGAAAATTATAGATCTCGACGAGTCGACCGTCGTTAAGATGCTGCACGGTGCACGGCAGCTGCGGCGCCTGGCTGGCTTCCCCGTCTCCGTCTAAAAAAAGAAGCGACCGTCTGCACGGTGCACGGCAGCTGCGGCGCCTGGCTGGCTTCCCCCGTCTCCGTGCGACTCTGCCCCTGGGTTTGAGGCGACCGCGGCCGCCGCTGGGTTTTCTCCTCAGCCTCACCCGGTTTTCTCGTTTCCCGAAATGCCCATGCCATCTGTGGCCTTGTTTAAATCACCTCTAAATTCTAAGTTTTTTCATTCTCTCTATTATATTAATTTTTAAATACATATATGGAGTATTAAATGTAGGTAAAAATAATAATTAATTGTACAGTTTAGTTGTAAATCACGAGACGAATCTTTTGAGCCTAATTAGTCCATAATTAGACAAAGTTTGTCAAATACAAACAAAACGTACTACAATATCCAGATTGAAAAAATTTGCAATCTAAACCAAGTTCTGTATCCAGTGAGTTAGGCAGGTCCGTCCCTATCCAAAACCAAGGAAAGTCATTAATGTAATTGAGCAATTAGAAAAGTCGCCGTCGCCGGCGGGACACGTGGCACCGCTGTGGAGGGCAGCCGTGACAGTGAGAGTGAGGGGAGGGGACGGGCGGAAGGAACGCCACGTACGCGTGTCTCTGGAAGATCCGTGCGTCACGTCACTCCTCTAACGAACGTTGCTCGTAAACGAATTTCGAGTTAAAAACAGTATTTTCTCACACAAAACCAACCAATAATAAATAATTTTGGGCCGACGACATGACGACGTGCTGCTACGCGGTGGATTATCTTTGGACGGCGGCCGGAGCGCCTCGGTATCATCCGACGTGTCGGCGTTCATCCACTCCCGTAGTAGTAATAATATAATCAATTCATGCCGTTCCAAGGCTGGTGGACTCTTTTTGGCCTCGTGCTCCCGCTGTTGTTAAGCCACTAAGTTTTATTCTTATTTTTGTATTATTAATATATTATTAAATACAGTTTATGTCAATGTTCTTTTAGATTTTCCACCCAAAAAAAAATCTTTTTAGATAGCTTGTTATGTCTAATAAAAAAATAAAGGTTGAAACCATGGTACTTCACGTTCTTAATATACTCCTCTTATTGTAAGTCCTTCTAACTTCTTTAAATACGTAGTTTTGCTATGTACCTAAATATTATGCTTAGATATTGTCGGTGTTTCGGAAATAGGGGTCCTTAACCCACTAGTGAATTTGTGCTGCGTGCTCCCAATTCCAGATGGTGATGCAAAGAGACACAAGGTTTATACTGGTTCGGGCAATGGATGCCCTACGTCCACTCTGAGAAGATATTCTTGTATTCCTTGCACCGGGGTGCTCGTAGTAGGGGGTTACAAGCTAGACGAGAGAGGGAGTTCGTCCCAAGTCTTTGTGAGGGGAGGTGATATGAATTACAGAATACGACGTGTTGTTCGTGCGAGTGTTTGTGACTCTATCCGCCGCCCCTAGAAACGGTCCTGCCGCCCTCCTTTTATAGCCGCAGGAGGAAACCCAGAGTATATAAAGAGAGCTACACGTGGAGCGGACTATTCGATGCCAGATTTACTCCCGGAGCAAAGATGGCGTTGTCGTGGGAGTTCCCGTAGATGTCTAATCGGTATGGTCTCCACTGCAAGTAACATGATGTGCATTTGTTGACTTGGTGGATTGCAGAGGCTCGGCGGCCATCCTAGCCGGTCGTGCCGAGGCCTGTTGTTGTGCCGAGGCCTGCCGTGCCGAGGCCTGAGAAGTGACCCATGTGCAGATGCGGGTCTCAGCGGCCGTCAGGCGGAATAGTGCGAGACGTGCGCCTACGAATCTGGTACTGTATTGTCGATGAAGGGATGGTAAAAAGGTGATCTCGACCGTTGTCCTGTCAGCTCTGTTGTTGCGTAGCATGCCGCCGATCGCGGGCTTACGAAGCGGGTGCGGCCGAGCGATTAATCGGATGTGATGACCGCCAGAGAGACTTTTGAGGTGGAGGCGACGAGGTTGTGGGACGAGCCCGGCCTCGGGCGAGGCGGAGCGCGGCCAATTCGTCCGAGGCCCTTCCGGGGGTCTCGGGCGAGGCGGACGGGCGAGGCGGAGTAAGATCAGTGAATCCGAGGCCCTGTCGAGGGGGCTCGGGCGAGCCGGAGCGGTCGGTCCGCTGATTCCGAGGCTACAGGAACCCGCTCTGACTCCCCACGTTGCGATGTCCTTGGTGCAGGAGTTAGGCAGCACAGTGGTCGGTAACCCCTGCTCTGTGCCGTCGCAGATGGCAGGAGGTTGACGCGACTGGCGTGTAGTCGGTCACTTCGCTGTACTGTGCCATCGTGCGTCTGTCGGAGTGGTTGGGCGCTTGGATGCGACGTTCGGTCAGAGCAGTTTGGTCGAAGAGGCGGTCACGGGGCTGGTGCCGAGCCGGCCTCGCGCGAATCGGAGAATCGACACTTCTTCCGAGGCCCCGGGCGAGGGGGCCTCGACGAGGGGGCCTCGGCGAGGCGGTCTCGGGTGAGTCGGAGAATCGTTTGCTTCTGCTGGGGCTCGGCGATGGGGTCTCGGGTGAATCGGAGATTTCGGCCGAGACCTCGTTTGTTTATTCCGTTGGTTCTGTTCTTAGGGTCTGAGCAGTTTTTCGAACTTTGCTTGGGGTACCCCATTTTCTAGTATCCGACAGTAGCCCCCAAGCCTCAGGCGGGAGTGTGGGATACTCTCCCCGAGGTTTTTTCGAGACTTTTGTTTCTCAGTGGCTCTTGTCGGGTTTGTTTTATACTCGTGATTCTGGTGGGTGCGCGCGAGCGCACCCGCCGGGTGTAGCCCCCGAGGCCTTAGAGGAGTGAGTTTACTCATTTAGGGGCTTTTTCTTCATTGAGTAAGGCGCTCTATCGCATTCGCTAGACCCATGAGAGCGAGCTCGGGTCGCTTGTTTTCGTTTGGGGTACAGGAGGAGCCCCCGAGCCTGCCGAGCCCTCGCGTGCGATCCTAGGTCGCTGGGTCTCAGCAAGGTTTGCAGGAAGAGCCCCCAAGCCTCCGCACGGAGCGAGAGGGCGGTCAGGAGTTCTCCTGGCTTCTTGTACAACCCTCGCGCATCCTTTTCGTTCGGAAGGAGGGGTTATTTGCCGAGCCCTTCGTGTGCGAGCCTAGGGTCACTGGTCTCGGCAAGGTTGCAGGAAGAGCCCCGAGCCTCCTGACGAAGCGAGAGGGCGATCGGGAGTTCCCCTGGCTTTTTGTACGACCCTCGCGCATCCTTTTTGTTCGGAAGGAGGGGTTGTTTGCCGAGCCCTTCGTGTGCGAGCCTAGGCCGCTGGGTCTCAGCAAGGTTGCAGGAAGAGCCCCCGAGCCTCCACACGTAGCAAGAGGGTGATTTGGAGTTCCCCGGCTTTTTTTGTACGACCCTCGCGCATCCTTTTTGTTTGGAAGGAGGGTTTGTTTGCCGAGCCCTTCGTGTGTGCGAGCCTAGGCACTGGTCTTGGCAAGGTTGCAGGAAGAGCCCCCGAGCCTCCGCATGACGAAGCGAGAGGGCGATCGGGAGTTCCCTAGCTTTTTGTATGACCTCGCGCATCCTTTTCGCTTCGGAAGGAGGGTGGAATGAAGAGCCGAGCCTACCCACATCGAGAGGGCAATCGGGGAGTTCCCCGGCTTTTGTACGTGACTTTTTTCAGCTACCCTGTGGGCGTGAGCGGTGTGAGCTTTTATCGGGAGTCCGAGTGGAGGCCCGTGCCCCATTTGATAGGGGTTGGCTAGTGGTCCGAGATGCGCTCCAAAAAATACCGAAGGCTTCTCTAGCGGGTGCTGGGCTGTTCGATTGGCCCTAGGGGCTCGGTGTGCCTCCTCACGGTGGGATCCCTTTAGAGAACTCCCGCTGGTCTCGGACATGACTTAGGGCATCCCAAGTAATCGCTTGCCTAGGCTTCGGCCGTGTACGGGCTCGCCCATTGTTGTCCCTGACTCTATTGTCCTGGGGTAGCTGTCGAGGCCCTGGATGGCCCAGCCTTCGTACCCCTGGATCGTAATGGGCTTGGTGCCCTTTTTTTCGTCGCTCGAACCTCGGGGTGTGAGAGGTTGCGGGAAGAGCCCCCGAGCCTCCGCAGACGTAGCGAGAGGGTGATTAGGAGTTCCCCGGCTTTTTTGTACGACCCTCGCGCATCCTTTTCGCTCGGAAGGAGGGGTTGTTTGCCGAGCCCTTCGCGTGCGAGCCTAGGTCGCTGGGTCTCGGCAAGGTTGCAGGAAGAGCCCCCGAGCCTCCGCACGTAGCGAGAGGGCGATCAGGAGTTCCCCTAGCTTTTTGTACGACCCTCGCGCATCCTTTTCACTCGGAAGGAGGGGTTGTTTACCGAGCCCTTCGCGTGCGAGCCTAGTTCGCTGGGTCTCGGCAAGGTTGCAGGAAGAGCCCCCGAGCCTCCGCACACAGCGAGAGGGCGATCAGAGTTCCCCTGGCTTTTTGTACGACCCTCGCGCATCCTTTTCGCTCGGAAGGAGGGGTTTTTTGCCGAGCCCTTCGCGTGCGAGCCTAGGTCGCTGGGTCTCGGCAAGGTTGCAGGAAGAGCCCCCGAGCCTTCGCGCGGAGTGAGAGGGCGATCAGGAGTTCCCCTGGCTTTTTGTATGACCCTCGCGCATCCTTTTCGCTCGGAAGGAGGGGTGGAACATGCCAGGCTACCCTCGGTGGGCGCCAGTGGTGACATTTTTGGT